GCAAATATAAAGCGTACACAACGTTGCAACAAAAATATGGCTCCGAAAATGAATTTCCAGTGGCAATAATCACCGGTATATTGCCTGCACAACAATTTACACGTAAAATATAAATTGCTCGTAAAATTAACATTCCCTAAAAACAATACTGTTCGCTCTACATTGTCCATCGACAGTGAAAAATCATTAATAAAAAGAATATTAACAATTTTTCATGTAGAATGATTTCTGTGTTCAGACGAAATACCGTTTTCCCAACTGAATCGAATAAACGAACACAAAACTAATTACAAACATCATTGAACATCGAGCTGAAATGAAACATTCCTGAAGACGATAATAGAAACCAATCGAACCTCAAACGAACCGTTCAACCCAATGAATTACACGTGTACACCGAATCTACGAAAAGTGTTACAGGACAAAATTCTCGTTGTAATGAGCATTCGTCCTCCGAAATCTCATTACGATTTCCCATGCAAGGGGTCAGCAATGGGGACCAGTATTTGCGCGGGTCTAACAGAGACCGGAACGCGCAAACACTTTGTTTTTTAAATCTATCCGTTAGCTTACCAATTCGAATGGACCGAAACAGGGTAACAGGGGCGTGTGAAACAACGCGAACTCGTTTCTCTGACTCTCTCTCTCTCTCTCTCTCTCTCTCTCTCTGTCTCTCTTTCCCCGTTTTTTTCCGTTTCTTTTCAACCGAAGAGGGAATTTTCGTGGATACGGGTCGGACACAGGACGGATCTCCGATACAAATGAACAGAAGCACGGTTCAGGCTAATGCGAAGTGGTGCACGGTACAGCGGTTTTTTAAATTACATTAACCGTGGCCGGGGTAACATTCGCCGTCGGGTAATCCGTTTCGCTAACGCATTTGCATAAACGCCAGGCTCGCGTATTTAAAGTACGTTCACCTTGATATAGGCTCCCGGTCCAGGTCGCTGGAAAAATAGCCTTGCAGCTCTTTTCTCTCGCGCTGGTCCTTGATAATGCCGTTAAGCAGGCGGTCCACATTGACGCGGGCGAACCCGAAATTCCGTCGGCGCTCGATCTCGAAAAACTTGGCCACCTGTTTGTACACGTAAATCTGCAGCTCGACCTCCTGCACCTCGTTCTCGAGGGTCGTTTCCGGTACAGCGAACACCACCGATTTGCCGCCGTAGAAACGCTCGTTCTGATAATTGGAGCCACGGTATGACCGATAATCGCAACGGTGCGGCTCCAGGGTTACCCACTCGTCGTCCAGCATTCGGAACATTATGATGGTCTTCTTCAAAAGGACCTTCTCGAAAGGACTCGTCCATGGCATGTACAACTGCGATCGTTAAAGTATTATTGGAATCGTGGTTTCCTGTGTGTGTTACCCTTAACACTCTAGGTTATTTTTTAATTTATCAACAACCGCAACTAATTTTTATAGTATTCCTGGCGAAAACGAGAAATGCTATAACGTATCTTCGATCTTTTATTTTCCTTCTTAGTACGAAATTTGGATGTGTGGAAAATTGAATAATTTTATGGTAATTTCTGTAAGATTCATTAAAATATTTAATATTATAACTGGTGCGATATTGGAGCCTACAGAGTTCAAAGGGTTAAGACGTTGATGGTCACCGATGACCGGAGTTTCCAAATTATTTGAAAATAATTACACTTCGTAAGATATCTGACGTCGAAATAGCATAAATAGGTAGATAGTAGTGTCAGCTAAAAGTTATAGTAGCAAATAATTGATAATTATTAGTTTTTATCGTTGCTACGATAAAACACTGCAGATTCTCGATTAATTTGATGCAGCAAAATTATAAAGTTTAATGTTTAATATTAAACTTTGTATAATGCATCACCATATGAGATATTGAAGTAAAATAGATTTGTTGCTTGATTTATGTTTGAATTTTATATTAGGAACAAATAAAACTATTTCATTGGGAAATGAATGTATTTAGTGAAAAACTTTCGAGTGAAAAGGTTGATTATTTTATTTCGATTTATTTATTGTATCCTTCCAGCTGCTCTATTGTAGATATTCAATTGTTTCCCTTTGGCATATGTGGATCATGTCACTCGTGCTCAATGAATAATTATTTCATTCTCTTTTCTTCAAATACACGGAATATACAAAGTAAGGAAAATAAAACCTTTGTTCAATTGTCTTTTCTATAAGCTAGTGACTAAAATTGATCATTTGCATTCATAATCTAGTTGTGGCTTGACACTATGAGCTTTATATTTCCAGGTAACGTCATAAATGTGATCTGATTCAATCCTGATCTTCATCCAACAGTTGATAAACCAAAGGAAAAGAGATTGATGTGCAGAAGGAAATTTCATTTGTCCCCTGTATAAAATTATATAAGGGAGGAGTAACCATATTTTCACAGTTTGATTGACGTCGTATCATAAAAGTTTCGTACGTGGCTCGTAAAGTGACGTATCACCTTATAATATAAAATGTTGTCGCGCTCATCCCGTCCCTTTAAAATGGCCGTCTCTTTTTAAGCCGTGACGTCGGAGACAATGCTCGAAAAAAAGAGGCGGCGTGTTTTAACGCCGAACTGTTGTCTAAAGTGCACTTTGCAAGGAGCAACGCTCCTGCTTTATACTTTTTCCTTTATTACCGATGTCGTTCCAGGTTCCTCTCAGCTTTTATAACCGAAAATTTCCTTCCCGTATCGGTGGATTTATTATCCGATGTTGATGCGAGTTCATAAACTGACATGCGCTTTGCTTTAATTCAACGCACTCCCTACCGTTCGCCTAAAATTCGGCGATCCGCGGACAAATTTAGCTCCACTGAAACACAACCTTTCATTAAAACTACTTGCTTTTAATTAAGTCCCAGGCGAAATTTTCACACAGTTTTTATAAACGAACACATTTAACGCTGGAACTTTATCTACTATAATTACCAAATTATCTGCAGGGATAACCAGTAACGAGGGTTCTCTAATATTATTCCTCGAGTAAAATCATCGATTATTTAACATTGCAAACGTTAATAAGGCATGCAATAAGGTTATGAACTTTTCATCACCCTTACGTACCTTTCATTTTCTAAGAGGAAATTAGGCTCAAAGAATATCCATTGAAAGCAACATACAGTTATTTAAGTACTTCAGTCATAATGCGACTTCGGAAAATAATAAAATACAGTTACTAAACCCTTTGACTACGGCAGAATCTTGCGTCAACGCATACTTCCAAGAAAGTGTATTAAAACTATGAAAACACTGAATTGAACTAAATTAAACCAATCAAAAACAGTCACATTTATATAATATATGACTAACGGAAGATGTAGTTGTTGAATTGAAATTCACTTACGTCAGATTTAAGCGAGCTTCGCTGCAATTATTGTCAATAATATTTTCCGGGCACCTATAGGCGCCAACAGTAGCCAAGGGGTTAAAGGTTACAATATCTGTCCACGTCTAACCTATTTCTATACCTCTCACTTAAGCATCGAAGTATACGTCCACGGAACAGACAGACAGTAACTTTAACGGACTCACGTTTTCCACTGCTAACTCCAGCATCATCAACTGCGAGTCCTGCGCGACGATCAGTGACGACATCCCGACGCCGCGCAATGTATCACGGGTCCTATCGGTTACAGTCGCCTTCCAGCGACTTCGCGTCTTCGAGAAGTTTGATTTATCGCCGATAAAGCGCCGGGAGAGGATGATTTTGAAATTGTTAGTAGTTGCTGACTATTATCGGGTGACCACGGTTAGCTGGAGGTTCGGAGCGTGTCGCGTTCACCGAGTTTGCGACATCGCCAACCCCTCCCGGCCCGCGACGCCAGTGCGGCGGTACATCTTTCGAGAAATAAATTTTATTTCGCTCGAACTATCGGCCAACTTCGTTTCCCCGGTTCCCCAGAAATAATAGACCGGGTTGAGAAGCGCCGTCAACTTCATCTATATATAATTCCATCGCCGGGAATATTTAGAAAGCTCCTCCGGCGAAGTTTAATTAGAAAATAAATTGACCGAGCAATAAATGGACCCCGTCGCAGGGAACAAAGATGCTCGAATTAATATCATGTCGTGCCTTCAATTTCGATTTTCATTTTATTCCCCCGCCGACGAACGAAAATATGACACCGTACTGCCACGCCGGCGTTGTCGAGCTCTCTTTGTCTGTTCCCTGTCAACGGTCTATTTTTCGGAGTTGTTTCAGTTATTCCAACGATTCAGCAACCATTTTTCATTTCGCCCCGCGAGCGGGGATAAAATTAAACATATTTCGAGCAGAATAATAAGCGCTGAGACGCAACCGTGTGAGAAATAAAAATGAAAAAGTGGAAGAGAGTGACGGGCGAGGCTAAAGAAAGTAAATGCGGTTGATTCTTTGATATTTTCTGATTTATGTCAATTTTGGTGGAATATGTAATATTCTTTTTAGTTTCTCCGAGGTTAAAAAACTCTTCTTTTTATAGCTTCTGAATATATTCTATAATTACTTCAGAAGCCACAACATTAATTTCCTGAATTTTTCTTTTGGACTTAACCTCATTGGTTTCTAAGCGACTCGTACATAGCAGAAAATAATCGGCCCACGATTAATCTGTTTTTTAATTCAGAATTTACTGAAAATAATGCTGGTGACAGCAGTATTTCTCTCAATCTACGAACTCCAAGGAAATGAATCAATTCCCGGCTTGTAGGAGCGATCAATTTTACAAACACGTATCGCGAGGTGATAAATGAACTTACACATAATCAAAGAATCTTTATAGCGGCGCGCTGACTTTTATAGAGAAACACGCGTAAATTGAATCGGAGTTGAAGCACTTTCCGCGCCCCTAAGCGAATTCCGAGAGCTACCCTTTTGAAAGGAGCATGTTAGTTCGCAGTATGTTGGACGTACGAGCGTTGCAGCGATTTCTATACAGCTACGGCAAGTTCTCGATATAACGTATCGAATGGTATCACTCGTAATCCGATAACTCGATGAAGTCACCATCAACCATTGACTCGAAGTTGCCAACTCCGAAAGAGCCAGCAACGGAATTCGCCGGAACTTCGGCCGCGGATGTTGTGACGTGCGTGGTACACGCTTAAATGAGAATACTTTTTACAAATGAGAATAGTTCCCGCGCACCTGCAGCAGGGCGACCGCGGGTCCCCGCTGAGAGAGTTTCATCGTTCGAAAATTAGCGTTGTAAATCCACAGCTGCCTCTCCTTGCGCGATAAAATACAAAACTCAGCATGTCAGTGAATTACCGTTGAAATTCACTAATATCGGGTAAATTTATTAATACCGTAAGCGTATTACAAACTCGTATTTCACTGCGCGAGGGGCGCTAAATGACTCATTTCATAAATCTCTGCAGCAGGAAATGAAACTCGATGTCTACTTTATGCTTCAGTTTAAAACCGTGAGACCAGGATAAACAACAACTCGTAAAATTTGTTGTAACGGTTACTGCGCGAGCTACTGATTGAAATTACCTTTTTATGGCGCCGGCGTGGACGGCACGCGTAACGTATCACCGAATGATCGAAATTTCCTCTACTAACCCTAATACTTCCCCGGAGCCTAATTGTCGGAGTTTAGTACAGCGTTTACTATCGTGTAAACAGTTACATGCATGAAATCTGTATTCGAGAACAACTTTATTCCATTAATACGTTAAAAACATCGTCATTTTATGGGTACGATAAAAGCTTCGGCTCCGTTTTCCTCTTTCATAAGCTCTTTAATAATTAACACTGCCGCCTCTGTGCGGAAGCGACTTCCGCCCGAGTTTCTTCTGCGTGCGCAAAAAGAATTTCACGACTTCGGTTCGCTTTTCCCGGCGAATATGCAGCGCTAGCCGTTGATATCGAATAATGATCTCCGTCCCGTAATCGTGTAGAAGAGGAAATCAACAGCGAATTCCGTCTTCCCTGAAAGGTATCTCGCAGAGGGAAGAGTATTCCGCGTTACAATGGACGTCGTTGAATTTCCCCTTCTTCAGAAAAATGCCACAGTTTTGTTCTCCAGCCTCATTATCTGGCTGCCCCTCTTCCTATCGTCGCTCCACTGATCGAAGCCGGTGCTCGCGAGCAGCTCGCCACGAACGGCGAACCACTCGTCCTCATTAAAGTAATCGTGCACACCGATAAAAGCTTCGTGCACGCCCGCGTAATCAAGCAGCGCCATTCAAAGCTGAAAAAGAAGATCAAAAGTTATAAGTGCCGCAAGTGATCTAACTATTATATGTAATTAGCATTCGAATGGCAATACAACTAGCAACGCTGCAATAATGATACATGGTTTCTAGAAGCAGCGTTAACACGTTGACTGCTACGCTGGTCACCGATGACTGGATCATCCAGATCACTTGAAAATAATGTTAATTTGCTAGATACCTAATGTTGAATGAGAATGTCTAATAGCGTAAATAACTAGATGGCGGTCTGACGTAAGCATTTCGATGCCAACTAATAAATAACTGCTGTTCTTTATCTTTACTACAAAAGAATAAGCGATACAAAATCTGAAGGTTTTCGTGGTAGTCAACGTGTTAAACTATCCTCATTGTTTTACAGACAAGAACATAATTGTCGCGATTATAGTTTCATCTTCTTACTTCCCCTCTTATCGAATAAGTGCCTTCGGTCCTGTGAAATTTCCAGTTCTAATAGGTATTAAATTAGTTAATTATTACTGTTTAATCGGGCGCAGCACCGACGTTCCAAACTTTCGCCGATTTAAAGGTTAATTGCTATTGTCGGTCAAAGCTAGAGTAGGTTGCCGCTCGTCGATCAGAATTGTGTCGGCGAAAGCTACCTCGCTAATTTCAATGTAACCAGACTTCAGGCACAGGCACCTAATAATTTACGAGATCTTTGATGTTAAATCCCTCTGGGGATTTATACCCTGCCACGTAAGCGCCTCGGACAGATTACAATCTGGTCTACCCGGTAGAATGTCCGGTTGCGAGGCACGTATTATTTCCCACGGAACTCGGAATCCTGGCTAGGAACTTCTTTAGAAAAAGTAAAATAATATTTGTAGTCTCTTTTCGAAGTCACGAGAGCCCCCAGCGAGCAGCTGGGATTCGTTGAGCTACGCGCTGTGGATAATAGTCTGCATTCTTGCGAATTGTTAAGAACACCGTTGGGAAGTTATTCGAACCGCAAGAAAACAATATCAACGTTGCCATTTCTCAAAATATTCAGAACTCCGGCAAAGTGCTCAGCGAAATGTAGAAAATATACCAAACACAGAATCGACATCATAAACATTTTTCCCTATAGGTTTACGAAATGTTCTATGTAAATCCTTTAGAAGCTAATTTCCGAGACGTATAAACAAACCCCACCGTTCCAGGAACAATACAATAAAGAGAGCAGTAAATGTCTGTGATTCCAGTGTTAAATAAAGCAACGTCGCCGTAGCAAATTGATCAAGCTATCCAGCGATGGTTACAAGAAGTAATCATTCCAGACGAAGCAGAACGAAACGAGCATCTCGAACTTACGTTAGTTTCGCATTTGGAGTTTACGACCACTAGATGACCACCCACGTCCTAGCAAATCTTCCTCGCTATATTCCGAAGTACCTCTTCCATGTGAAGTTTGTGCAAACCGCTGTGACCCGTGAACACGTAGTCGGTGCGCACCGGTAGTTGCTGGGAACCTGGCACTCGTGACGTCACAGGGGCGGATAAGTCGCTCCGAGAAGTCCAATCGTGGGTCCGGAAACGACTCTTCACGCTCTTCGCCGCGCGACCCGATTGGCGTGCGTGAGCGCCTCAGCCAATCGTACGCCAGAACCGGAAATTCATGCGAGGAAGGCGTGCGCTTCGAATCTGACCACTCGGACGAGAGTGCCAGGTTCGCTGCAACGGACGGTACATTCCTCGTCTCGGAACCGCAATTGCAGGAAATCCTTCGCAACGGTGCGCTATCTATTTTCCGATTGTAATTCGATCCGTCGTGCTACCAGGCGGTTGCATTTTCTGGCACAGGTGTAATGATCGTTCGATTGTTTTCCGATCTAACGGAGTCTAAGTTCGAACTGCCAAAGATCAATGTAAGACGAGTAAGATAGTTAGCCAGTATCTTCATGTCTTCCTAGGTCTCCTTTGCTACTGTCCGATGCTTTGATCATTGGATCAATTTTTGCGTCACTGTTCCGCTTCGAAGCCTGCTTGTTTCTTCACCGAAGCCACGTTTAACGGATCGTGTCACGCGGCGATCGAGATGGGATTGATGAGATACCTTTGCTTCCTCTCGATAAGTGCTCGGTCGCTCGACCGAGATCAACGGGAGCTAACTAAACGATACTGTGACCCGCCCAAGATTGCGTCTCTTCGAATAAGATTATCAGCGCTGGCTAGTTGCCTCGTGGTCCAGACGCTTGCTTAGCTTCCAGCGGATCAATCTTTGTGCATAACGTTCCCCGGATGTCGTCTTGTTACCCCGCTTGTCTGTCAGTTTTGTGCACGATGAATAATTATAAGCGAGGTACAACGCTCGTTATTCGGAAGTCAGTTGCAGAAGTCTAGACGCGATCTTATTTAACAAAAACGAAATGTTCGAACATTTCCCGGATATTAATTAGTTTATTCGTTGCGATTATACGGATCCTGGGAAATAATCGTGTTTCGTGCATTGCGTTCTTCTTATTAGAGAACATAAATGGATCGAACATACAAAATCGCGGAGTCTACTGTACGGTTATCGGTTTACCCTTGTTTTCCTGCGGAATACTCGAGACTTGAGTTTCGAGTTGAATTTCCATCATCTGTAACATTTGATTGGTACTATTCATTTCGGAGACGCGAACTTGATTCCAGTGAAAAGGCAGAAATTTTATCAATGGGATAATACGGCCTCTGGGAACAGGGAAATCCTTGATCTGAATAATACTGACCGCCAGGAATAAATTCCAATCAGAACACTCGTTGGAAAAAGTTCCCCGAACGTTCGCGAAGTTGGAACCCCGGAATATTTGTAGAGTTTCGGCCGTCCTGAGCTCTGAAACATCGTAACTCATTACTCCATTTGTTTCGCTTTTACGTTAACCCGTTGGCAATCTATATTCCAGAGTTTTAATGCTCGAACGAAGAAATTTCTTTAATAAGCGTGTCCCATTCTCGCGGATGGTACAGCTTCGTAACTGTCACCGACGATACCGAACAGTTGGAACAAGCTTTTTTTCAATTCTGATCGCATGAAGCTATCTTGTACGGGATTATCTATTTACCTCGGAGGCGGGCGCGCGACGAACAAGCGAGCGCGAGAGCACTACGCAACAAGAATTCTCGCTACTCCATTAAAGTTTAGGCAGGTACCGTTGCACGCAAGACCCAGACCCAATTTTCCTGAAAAGTACTTACTGGAACAGTGCAGAAACTGGAAGCCACGGGATCCGAGGCGAACGGACCACCCCGTAGCGTCTGTTAAAGCGGAAGGAACTTCTCTATTCTCGACCCCGGTTTAAGAACTTGCGCTTTTTCTCAATGAAACCGGTTGCAACAACGATAATCGAGGTATTTGTCTCTTAGTAGGCCGTAGATTTCAATTTAGTATTTCTTCCCGCTACGATTAACACGTGCAATCGAGATAATTCTAATTCGTTGAATTTGTCGATAGGAAATTTTTATTTGTTGGAAAGCTTCCGGCTGTCGTGTCTGTTCTTGGTTTAACGATTCCATTGTACATCGTACGTCGACAAGAGGCACTGTCTAATTGATACACAGCGAGTGTTACGTGTTTTTAGTATAATGGATGGCTCGAAACGAATACCTGTTTGAGGTGCAGAGTGGCGTTCAGAAGTTACCAGGTCGTTTCTGGAGCTTTTCTTACACAATAAAGGCTTCGAGGACTTTTTGTTATTATGAGAGAACAAAGTAAGAAACACCGTCTATTCTTTATAGACATTTTTTTAGAAACAAATAATAAACGATAATAACAGGAAACTTTTGAACACGCCAATTTAGTTATTCTTCAAATACACAACTATGAAAACAAAATAGTACAGTTGCTTTTGCAGTATCCATAAATGCGGATATGTCCTTACTTATGATATTAACAAAAATTCCTTCAAACTCATCCCACCAAAAGAGAAGTACGTTAGTAATAAAGCGCGATCATGAAAATTCGAAGAAACACGGGCTAATTACCGATACAGTGTTAATATCATTAGGTCACCAGAATTGCTTATTCTCGTGGTTCGTGCATTGTAAACCATACATTAACAAACTCGTAGATTGACTAATCCCTGCAGGCGTCAATTGTTTTCTAAAATGGAGAACTGTTTTCGTTATGCCATCCTACCGCTATCGCACTAAATCTATAGAAGCATTTTGATTTACAGAGCCTCAGCAGATCCATGAAAACAATCTTTATTGTAAAAAGAATAACAATGGTAGAATTGTATCGTTACATGGAAATCGTCGGAATCATTTCCGATTCCTTTAAGCGAAATTTCTTCCGTTGGAAATTAACAGCGCTACTGCACGTTCGCGAGGGGCCTTTTGCAGATGAAAGCGAGCGTTTTGCCGCAGTTTTCGTCGTCGAGGTAACCATCGTCCAACAATGCGCCACAGTTTTGGCCGGCATAATTGTCAGGCTGTCCCCACCATCGATTAGACCACCCCGTGAAACCAGCGGCGGAAATCGAGTCGTCGAGGACGGTGACCCATTCACCTTCCGCAAACATATCGTGTATACCAATGAAGACTTTGCCCTCGTGGGATGCCGCTCTTATATGGCCCATGTTCGAAACCATCTCTCCCAACATCTGGGGAAAAGTAACAGTTTTGTGGCATCGTGAAGTCAAATATACCCGTACGTTCGTTGGATTCCTTAAGTCAAGACAAACCGATAAATAACCCAGAAACATTGTCTCCAGTATCGCCAATTTGTCCTGCAGCTTTCTGTTTCAGTAATCGCTGGTCCGTGATACAGCGATAGCTATCTAAAGCAACGGACCCTCTCATTCTGTTCAAACGCGGACCATCCATTTGCTTCCTACTTACTTCCTTCTTTACTAAAATACCACGGAAACATGTTTCATCGCGAACTTTAACGATTTGTCACATTTTTAGGGGAACGCTCCCTTATGTTCGATTCTTCGCGATGCAACTCTACACCGAAGCACGTTCAAACTAATGTTCGTACTACTAATCACTTAAAAATTGACACGAACTGTAGGTACTATAATATTTAATCCCTTGGCTTATGATTTCTTTCTCAACTCTGATCGACACGGCCACTTTGTCATTAATAATTTATTGGAAAAAGAGAAAAATTCTGAGCATACGTTATGTCTATATTTCCTTTGGAGTGTAATCGCTGATTACAGAGGAATAATATTTACTTTGAATTCGAATGAACTGAATAATATATATAGTAATATAGTAAATAATAGAATTATTATATAGTAAATAGTATAATAATATAAATATAGTATATATATGTTGAATCATGTTGAACATCTTCACCACGAGCCTCACTCGTTGTTGTAGGACAAGGGGTTAAGAAAAGATTGAACAAATGATACTCACCCGAGCTTCAGCCCCGGAGTTTATGACAGCGAGATGGGCACACTCATCCCTGCACACCTTCCGCGCTGAAGCCCAGTTCATTGCGTGGCGGTGCAATTTGTAAGCACCAAAAGGCTCCCTGTTTATGTAGTCATCGCGTGCTGCAGAGCACGCATCTGCGATGACGGGCGACGACAGTGCAGTAGTCAGTATCAAGCAGCCTATCAAGACATTGCAATTGTACCACGCGAAAGAGTAGCGCTGTGACATCTCTTTGAAACTTGACTTTCTTCACTGAAATCGGGAGACAAGAAGAGCAATGAGTTGTATTGCGGCTGTGTAGACACTGAACTGTTCACAACCAACCATGAGTATTTATATGACACTGTTACATCGGAATATCCACTTACAGCAGTATTTATCCTAATTAAACTGATCCCCCGGTTGACATTGCGAATCTAATCGTTTTCCTTCCCCCTCTCTTTTCCTTCTTTCTTCGGATATCTTCCCATATATTTCGTAATCCTGATAATTTTCAAACTTCTAGTGTATTTCTTGGTCAGCACATTAGCAATTACATAATGAACGACGTTACTCGAATGCTAACTCTGATTTGCAGTTCGTTCGCGCCTTATCTTCATTTTTTCTCATCCGTTCTTTCCTCGATCTAATTAAAAATCGTCTGTCGCAACAAGTAACAAAATCTGCCGTTCAGCTGTAGTTGACGTCGATTCACGATCGCATTACTTGAAACAGATAGAATTGCGATCGAGTAACGTACAAAACTTAGGTACATTGAATTCTATTCCAGCAGGAATCACAATTGCATTCGAATAATTTCGATCTGTTTCCGAGCTTTCATTTCAAACAGGGAACAACGTATGAATCGCCCAATAAATATTGAGCGTTAAATTCCTGTCGGACTAGGTAATCACGCGATGAAGGCAATTAGTACGGCACACCTGGCGGGGGTGGTTCGTGAAAGAACGGGAGAGGTGCATCGCACTTCATGTCGTCGAGTTCGCCGGCCGTTGTTAGTAAGACACCACAATTACGCGTATTCCTATTGATTCGGGGAAGCAAACTAAACTCAGTCGAAGCACTCCATTCGGTAAACCCTGAACTCTCAAGCATATCGCCAAGAATGGTGATCCATTCTGCTTCGTTAAAGTGATCCTGTATACCAATGGAGGCTTTAAACAACTCCGCTTCGCGTTTTATTGAGAAACGTTTGGTTGTGTAATTCCGCCGAAATCTGACACAGTGAAATTTTCAGAGTTCGACGTATACACGGCCATTTAAAATTATGATAGGACCGGTCACTAATTATTCGTCACTGTATAAAACGTAAATACAAGGGATGCAAGAGAATCAGCTATTTTGCAATTCTCAAAACATCATTCGTTCTATTATGTTACGAACAAAGACATTTACCGGCGACATTGCTACGGCAACCTCTTCTTGAAGAGTCAAGATCTTCGTTCGATGCTCCGAGAACGTCCGTCTCGCTATTTCGATTTAAAGTCTACTCTCCCTTGCTGAATGATCGACGGGCAAACAGCGTGTTGTATTGCGATCGAGAAAGAACCAAACGAAACGACTGTCACGAGGCGACAGTCCGCGACTAATTAAACGGCACTGCTGAAGAATCCATTCAACTGTCCCAGGCTGAAGACACGCGATTGGCTGAACCGACGAATCTTCGCGTATAACTTAATCCGGGACGACCTTCCGCCACCTTTCTATTTTTCGCAGTGGGAACGCATGATGCGCCTTTGCGAACTCGTTTAGCAACATATTATTCTTGTTTATATTGAGATAACAGGTTCGGGTAATTAAGATACAGTGGAAGAAAAAACTTTGACCAACGTTTGTAAGAGCAAGATCGTCTCGTATCCTTGAGGACAAATAAACAATACCGGCTGAAGTGTTCACAATTAAAAACAGCCGTCGAATCATCAGAGAAATAACATTAACTTCGACGATACCTGATAACGCTTCTATAATTAAAAACTCAATTCTATTTTTGGATACTCCTATTTTATTCACGACTCTGATATATACAATAATTAACATTCAATTGTATTAGAAACTAGTATGTCATGATACATATAGTCTCAGCTGTACTTACATTATTTTTAAGCCATCGATTCCGACCAGTCATTACGCGAAATAGGAAATTAACCCTAGTCGTACCACGTGTTTTTATAACGAATCATACCACGATACTCTCGGTCACTTATGAGAACAAAAGGAATGATTAAAATGTTATTATTTTTCTTTACAGGGCTCAAATTTTAAAGGTCTAAAGAAACTTTTGGAAATGCAATATGAAGTAATCAAAATATTTAAGTGAGAAGTTCAAATGTGACTCAAAGTCACATCGTGGTCCGATTAGGGTTAACAACTGTAACCTTGCGTATGAAGTGGTCTTTCAACGGAAGAACGGAAGAGTTCCGGTACACGGTACGTCGTCGATCGTCCCATCTTTTACGAATGCGCCATAGTTTCGCCCAGCACCGGCATTATCCGGCTGACCCAGCCACCTGTCGCTCCACTGGCTGAAACCGTTGCTCGCGAGCGACTGATCGAGAAAGGTGAACCAATCGCCCTCCTTAAAATAAACCTGTATCCCAATCAAGGCCTTTTCCGAGTGCCATGCATTCATTACTAATTACGTTGCATTAAATAACTCCGACAACGCCCGCACGAAATTCGGAAAGTTTTATGAAATCATCGTAAAACGCTGTCCAAACGTTACAAGATAGAAAAATGCGTTCGAATGTTCCGCTTCATCCAATAATTGGAAAGCAAAATTCAGTAGTGAATGAACGAGTAAAGTTTCGTGACAATTACTGGCATGCTGAGATTGCAAAATCGGCACTATCAAGAGTATCAGGTTTTTTAGCGACTTTTCGGAATTAGAAGAAATATGCGCGCTTTAAGACATGATCCAGGATTGTTATGAATAGGATAGTTGGAAATCAGAATGTTTAAAAAGCTCATTCGAATGGTCGAGTTAAGAAAAAGATTCAACTGTGTCGAGGTTATGAGGGTGCGTAAAATAAAATTCCCAGCGATTTCATGCACAATAATGTTTTTATTTCCTTGAAGAAAGACGAAATACAACACCGATAAGAAACATAGAAGTACAATAGTGGGTATACAAAGATGAGTAACACTCGAAGATCAATAGGTGCTTGGCTTACAACAACAAACGTCGTAAAAGATAGACCAAGAGGAACATGGCTTTGGAATATTAACAAAGAAAGGGATCCACGATTCGCAACAAAGTATTAACAATAAATGTTTCCAGAATAAAGATGAATACTTTCAGGAAAAATTATGATAAACTTGCATATTAACTAAACAAACGACTTCAAGTCGAAATCGTTTGGTTCGTTAATCGGAGGTACTACTGAAAACAAGAAAGAATTTTACTTGTAACATAATTATCTTTTTTCTTGCCATGTGACCTTGCAGAGCCTACAAAAATTTGCAAAACCTCCGAATGCTACTCTTCTAGTGGGCGCTCGCAGACAAATGGTAATATCGCGCGGCAGTTCTTGGGAGCAAGACGGTTATCAGACCTGAAACTACCACAGGTGCAGACGTGGGAATCAAACGGCCTGATACACCTCGAGGAACAACAGTCGTGAACTTCGTCGTCGTCGACCCACTCGTCGAAACCAGCCGCAGGAAGCGAATCATCGAGAATGGTCGTCCATTTACCCGGCTTAAACAACTCGTGTATACCGACGAAAATTTCTGAAATCTTTGCGCTGCGAAGTAGTCTTGATAACTCCTAAAAAAAGCAACAACTCAGATACATATTCAGCACTGCACTTCCTCTTATAGCATTACGTTTACGGAACGCGTCAATTTGGCACATATTGAATTTTACAAACATTATTTGCTAAACGTTTACATCGATTCTGATTAATACCATTATACGAACACACATCCTAATCGCTTATTTTTAAAGTACTCATTTTGATCTGAATTGAACGACATCAATTTTCCTAGGGACAATAGATTGAACTACGGAATGTATAACCGAGAACATTGCGTTCATCAAATCACAAGAGTGCGTAAGGAATGTCCAGTCAAGAGCAATCACGACAGGAATTATAAAGCAACAAGCTACCCTTGTCCTGTTTATGCTCCGTTATGTGTGGTGAGTTTTCTATGAACTCTGATTTGTCTGTTGCTTCGCGTCTGCGTGGATATTATCGAATTCTATTATCGGGTAAAAGATTTTACGCACAACATTTGAAGTGTTGTAATAAGTTTCACGTCCACTCATTTCAAGACCGAACAAGTT